AAAATACTAGTATAATAATAAACCTATAGGAAGTTATACATCACACTATACAATCTTTGGATACAAAATCTCACTGGCGTACGAGTGCCGCGCACGAGCGGCGCCGGTCCGGCGGAGCGCGCCCGGACGCGGCACCGTACGCCCACACCGAACCAGTCTCAATACTAGCGAGCCGTGTCATACACGAATTGAGAAATTTAGACAATTTAGACAAAAAAAATATTCAAAAAAAATTTATCCTCATCACATGAGCCATGTCAGTCCCAGAGTTCCAAACATTACGATATCGCATTACCAACTACTCCGTTGCATATTGGGTGTCTTTTATTTAGAAAACTGACTCGTAATCCACTTCGCGCATTGGATGCTCTGTGTTTTAGAAATGAATACTAATACGCAAATTATATTATTAAAACTTCGACCGTCCTTGCCGACGCATATTTATCAAAACGTTCCCTTCGTATCCCTTCCCTAGTCGCCTCCTCTCCATACACAACACCCAATATGCCGTCACCATTATACCTAACAACCACATTTATATTGCAATCTATTTTTTTTTACACCTTAGCATCATTCGCGAACGTAGTCCACGTTTAATAACATCGCTTGCGCGGGCGCAGCCCAGGTGAGCCATGCCCGCGCCCGCGACGCGTGCAATCCTATCTAGACAACGCCCTGTCGGTCGGTACTCTACAGAACACAGTTTGTATCCATCGTCCTCACCCTAAGGAAAACATTTACACACGAGTCCGGCCCTGTCCACGCCTCCCGCCGAGTGCACGCGTGGACAGCACCGAGCCATCAGATGTATCGATACTATACATAAATATTTAGGACACAATATCTCGAAATTGTTAGTTTTAAGTCTACAAATCATTTACCATTATTAAATATAAACTACAATCGATTGGCAGTATCATTTATTCACCTCCGTCTGACTCATGATATCATCGTGACGTGACTCGCGGCATGAGGCCACACGAGACCTTCACTAATACCCACGAACGAAACGTTAGCACTTATCATACCGTCCCACAGCCGGACCGGGTCGGCCGGTCGGCGCCGGACGCCGGCCCGCTCCCGCTGTCGGGTCTCACTTATCGTACGAGAAACTGAAATCAAAACAAACGCAGCCGACGCATATAGACGCCGACGTGAAACTGAAGCCATCTCCTTCCTCCTCGTGGACGTAAATACAAAGGTACCTATACATAGATGTGATGACATGATCGCAACGTGTTATGGCACGTCCTAAGCATACCTTAAGGGGCCCGCCGGCCGCGCGGGGCCCGGGCGGCGGGCGGGCCCGCGTACTCCCTATGGCTAAGAACAACTCCTATCACCTCGCATGTGATCCCTTCAACCGTTTACCCTAGGGGCCGCAGCTCGCTCGCGTCGTTCGCCTCGCTCGCTCGCTCGCTCGCTCTCCTGCAGTCTCCCTACAGCTGCAGCCCTCCGACCTTCCGACCTCTCGACCCTCAGCCGACGATCGGCCGCAGACGTACTAAATAAAACACAAACCTAACTAAATCCACAAAGTAGAGTTGCAAACCTATCCTGTTTAGTTACTGCTCATCGAAAACCGCCGAGTACTTGTCTTGTATTGTGTCCAACCGCTATTTTCATACTATTACATTTTAATAATTTTTATTTCAATCTCAGGTACTGTGGTATTGCTTACATGTAATTATAAAATGATTTTTCACAAGTTTATATTTTGTACAAGGGCGGTATGAATTTACAAGCTGACCAGAAAAATAAAACCGCGCCATACTGGACGAGTGTGAGCGTCGACTCGGTATACCTGTCGACGTCGAGTAGCAAGTCTAACAATGAATGGTGGCTCTCGGCCCTCACAGAAACAATGTGGCGGGCCGCGGCCTCGCGCCTAACGTACAGATAAATTATCTTTTAGCAAAACATCAATTAATATCAGAAATATAATTAAAACTAACGTACTATTATAACTCTGATTTTTTTTAAGTTTTTATTTTAGCAGTTGATTCGATTCGTAACTATAGTGACCTATTTAACACTTAGGAAGCGGGGGCGGCGTGCGGCTGCCTCGCCGCTGTCACTGGCTGTCTGACTACTACCGCCCGGGCCGCCCGGGCGCAGGGCCGCATGGGCCGCACTGGGCCGCACTGGGCCGCAGTGACAGCGGCGATGCGTCGCGGATAATGAATATTATAATAATTGACTATCACCACCAGGCATCAGACTGCACACCAACTAGACAAACACAGCCCGAACTAGTGACATACGTTCGTCGCTGTTTACTATGGGGGACTCTTTGCTGCCGGAGGAGGACCGTGGAGCTACAGGGGCCACTCCACCGCAGGCAGTGACTGACCAAATATCACAGTGAGAAGTCACAACCCAAGTGTTGAGCATATTTGGTCAGTAAAATCGTTGAACAAGAGAGACAAGAGGAGTTGAGGAGCACGCGTTACGGACAGAGCTGCTCGCTGCTATGTAGCGAGCGAGGAGGGGTGGAAGAGGTGGGACATGGGATACAATGGACATGCGCAACGCGAACGTATGGCCCAGTGAGCATCATAAACCTAAGTGAAGGAACGCGAAGTCGGCAAGCGGGTGAGGGCGGGGCGGGGGTGGCGGGGCGGGGCGGAGCGGGGCGCGCTATCACAGGGGCAGCACTGACTGGCCGCGGTATGGGGCCGCGCTATGGGGCCGCGCTATGAGGCCGCGCGGTACCTAGCTCCACGTATAGACTATTATTCATCTCATTATACATATAGCTTTAATTTATTTATACTTTATCGACCGAGTGCCAGGCCGGCCCACGACCGAGCGAATATAACATCTTTTATTTCAAGTCTAAATATAAACTCTGTAGATCTTAAACGTCTATGGAAGTAAAATTACTTTTGTACCATAAATAGTTTAGTTTAAAATGAAGCCCAAGTCGCGAGGCGGGGCCCGGTAGTACAGCGTCGTACAGTGGGGCCCCGCGCCTGGCGTCGGGCGCGCCGGCCCCGCGCCCGCCCCGCGTGTCGCGAACTATCCTAACTTACTTACGGCGACGCGCTCGCCCGCCCCCGCTTTGTATATATTTCTATCTTTATTTATTCGTATAGAGAAATGTTTTATATAGGTATTTCATATTTTCTTCTATATTATGTAACACTTTATCGGACGTCACCAACTTATGTCACTCTATATAGAATGGTCTCCAGAGGAAAATGTACTGTAAATTAACCTACGCAGCCGCGCGGGCCTATGTCTATGTAACCTTACGGGTGAAGTAGTCTATGTGTCTAGCACTAACCACATACTTGCTTGTATTTACTTCGAAGTCCATGGAACAACATAACAGTACAATAACTACAAAGTCCGCTCACTCACGAGTAGTTACGTATAGAGCACGTTACATACATACAGACACAGAGCGGTACAACCGTACACGCCACAGGTCGCATATATCGAAAGATACAATATTTATAATATAATAGATCTCGCAGTCCAATTTACAATAATTTCGCAGTCAATTAACTTTATGAATATTTCACAGATAAATGTATACTTAAATTCGTTTCACACAAAATGTAAACGTATTCAACAGCTGAGAGAGTCCGAGGGCGCCCTGAGAGAACACAACAAACAATACTGAGCGATACCAGTGGCGCACTCTGTGCGTGTGAAACAAAACTAAGTAAAACTAATGCACTTACACACACACAAACAAATTATATCAGGCCGTCATAGATACACCACGATCTCGTTATTGCATTATTCACAGGAGACTGCCCAGCGCCGGGTATCACATACCCAGCGCCGCGGCACTAGGTACTCTGGTACACTGGTACACTGGTACAATGGTACTATGGTACACTGGTACAGTTACTGCGGATGTTGCGACCGCGTTGCGATACGCCTAAAGCTACCAATAAAGGGTGAATCGGAGTGATGTAGTCATAATAAAACATAATAATGAAACAAAATGCGTAAATACATGAGTAGAGTAAGTTCCAAGGCCCCGCCGCCGCCTCGTAGCGCCGCACTGCCCTCACTGAGGGTCCGTCCTAACATTAATGAATCGCCAATTACCCATAATTTTGACAGCAACCGTTTTGAATCGAAGCCAATATTTTCGTTCAATTTAGAATACAGTACAAACCTACCAAATAACAAGGACGTGACCGCGGCCGCGTCCGTCCCGTACGTAATAACATTTTAAATCCGTCGGATCGTACGCCTATGTATATCACAGCAGTGCGTCGTAAATCTAATGATTCGAGTACACCGCGGCCGGCACGAGCCCTGCCTACTCCGCGCTGCCAGTAACACTATCATTCAATAATCCATAGTAAAGAAAAAACACATACACCTACAAACTAGACAAGTGGCCATCGCAATTGTATCGAAACTTTATTATGTTGTCGCGTGCCGGGCCGGGGCCCGCTCGCCCGGCACTCCGGCCCTAATATCATATAACTTAACGAAATAATATGACTTACATCTCGGAATACATCTCCGCCTCGCTACATAGTGTATCAACATTCGTTCCACTTCATATTCTCGATATCATGTGCCGAAAACTATTTACACAAATTAAAAAAAGAGAATAAAATAAAGTGATAATTTAAAAATAAAGCTCAAAGCCGTCTAAAGTTAGTTTCTTTCAGAAAAATAATAAAATAAGGCCGCCCTCGGCGAGCGGCGCAAGTAATAATTTAGATTAAAAGGCCACGAACGAGCGCCTCCTACAATGTCAACAACAAATGAACCGTCGGAGTGCAACATTAGCAACATTAGTACCTTGTGATGGCGGAGCCGAGCTCGCGCCGCGGCCGGGCCGAGGCCCGGGTGGTCTCGTAGCGCCAAATATATAACATACTACATAATCATATCAATACTATATACACATAATAATAAAGCATCAGTTTGTGTGGCGGCGGCCCGGCCGGTCACTGACCGCGCGCCCCGCCCCTCCCCGCGCCCCCCTCGCCCCGCGTCCCCGCCCCTCACTGCCGCGCGCATCAAATCCGGTGCGGCGCTCCCACCGTCTCCTGCAACCAGTCGCACTCGTCAGTACATGCTCCACTTCACTTCAAGTACCAGCGGGAAGCCATGATTTACACAACAAACCATTGGACAAGTGTATACTTCAAATAATGTAGGTATCACTACACCTCAAACGTCACGAGTCAATTTCCCCCCTTAAAAAAAAAAAAAAAAAAAACACCTGTGACAGCCGTCACAGTTGACAGCTGTCACAGTTGACAGCTGTCAAAGTTAAAAGCTGTCACAGTTGAAAGCTATTTATTACTTTGACAGCTGTCAAGTTGAATACTTAAGACGCAATTTTGAACCTAAGTACATAATAATACTTTCATTGGCTGTCAAATAGTTTATTGTGTAGGAGCCAGATAGCAAGTTTGTTAATAATTATATCCATGACAGCACAGCGAAGTAAATGCAGTTAATAACCAAGGCGGTAAAGAAATATTGTTTATTGAGAGTAGAGGCGGCTACAGGCCGGCAGCCGGCGCCGGGAGTACGTACAGTGCTGGTGCTGGCCCCCGCCGCCGGAGCCGGCGCGCCCTGTGCCACAAGCCGAGCTCAGTACAGTGCGGGGCGCCCGCGCCGGGGCTAGTCGCGTATAGTCACCTGGTGCGAGTCGGCGGGCTGATGCGCGCGGCACATCTTGTCGCAGTAGTCGGCCAGGATGTCGCGGAACCGCGTCCAACACTTCTCCGGCACTGTGATGGCGGTGCGGAAGTTACTTTTCACCTGCAACAGTGCACAGCGCACGTTACTCACTCACTCGCCACGCGCTAACCTAACAGATGCTATGTATGATGTTAATTATTACTAACTTCTTTTCTGCCTCCTGATTGCTTTGGGGGAAAATTAAAACTGATTTTATTTGAGTTGGCCGGCGCCGAGCTGGCGCCTGCGTGCGGTCCCCACCGGCACCGCCAGGGCACTGGGCGCTACCTGCCGCGCTACCTGGCGCGCTACCTGCCGCGCTACCCCCCAGTGCGCGCTGTACAGTGCCGGTGCAGGCCGCACCGCGCCGCTCCGCCCGGCGCCAGCTCTGCGCCGGCCATTACTTCCCTTAGTTTACGTGTTTGTACAAAGAGTTACATCAATATTATAATAGCTGGGACTAGTTATACAATTGCACGTCGAATGTGAATTGACATAGAAACGTTTCATGATCAGCATAACAAATCGTCAAGTAAGGGTAAAGCATGCAGTGAGTAGTCGGGGAGTGGGGGGTGTGACGTATGAGTTGAGTAGAGTGGGGGTTCACCTCGCTGACTTTCATGTAGATGCCGCGGTTGTTCTGGCCGATGTCGAAGTAGAAGTTCTTGTTGTCGACGCGCAGATGGCGGCCCTCGGGCAGCTCGCCCTTGAACCTGCAAGCACAGCGCGTCTCACGGTCCGACCCACGACACGAGCCACGCATGCACTACGAGGCATACCGCGGTACCGTACCTACTACACTTGCCAGCACAATCTAGTACTTTAAGCATCAAACGGACTCAACGTCGGTACAACAACAATATTTACTATGCCACCATTCCCCAATAATGAAAATCATACCATTCCGGTTCAAACCAAGCCTCAGCCGGGTGATCGCTAACGGCGACAGTGGCAAGAATCAGAAAAAGAAAAGACCCCGTTAAACATAAAGCTGGTACATAACATACAACATAAACAAATTATAATAACAGTCACATACAGGGGCGGCGGGCCCCGAGCCTGCCTAGCGCCCGCGACTCAGCGGATGTGTTCGATAACCTCCTTTTGCCAAGAGATTACTGTGAGCTCTAACATCGAATGTCTACGAGTCCACGCGCCCGGTGACGCTGCAGTCTACTACAGGTAACCACTAGTAAACAGAGATGGAAGCACAAATGATAAGAATCAATAACTTGAACGAACAGCTCCATTAATGATTTCTGTAATCAGTCGCCCGATAGCGGGCAGGAACTAGGTCGCCTGCTTTACGCGATTTAATCAAACGCGTGCGATAACGCCCCGCGAACCTATCATCTTACAACGTGCTCGCCTCACTACCGCACTACGGTAGCAACATAGTACATTTTTTGGTATTTCGAATGATTTCGTTCAATGACAAGGATTTCATGAGGCACCAGTTGCTGAACTTAACGTAATTAAAAACGAATACAGAATATATACTACATAAAAGTAATAAACTAAAATGGTGACATTTGTACAAGTGGCATGTGGTGTAGTATCGACCTGTAATATATTTAGCTTGGTCACAAAGACACGGCAATAATAAAGCCACATAAATACATAATAAGTGCATCAGCGAGGTCTGCATCGAGTATCGAGCGCGTTACATCCGATCGATACTCCTGGCGCTGTCTGTTCGTTCTCAGGCAAATTTAATTATACAAACTGTTCAAGACCAGCCCCGTGACGAAGCAAGCCACGCTCTAACGTCTACTAATGTCATATTTATTACAACTATTGCTTTCTTGCATTTCTGTATTTATAAAGTAACACAACTACGACTAGCCTTGACTAAAGGAAATTGTTAACTTTTATAGTTGACATTCCGACCGCATACAAAAACTGTTCAATTCAAAATTATACAATGGACAAATAAGTTGTGCAATGTTATTTTTTTCAGCAGTACGTCGTGGCAAAGAGGAGTAGTTTGGCAATATATCGCACACTCGCCTGGATAAGATTGCCGGTGACCTATATCTATAATCGTGGCGCGTTACCGGCCGGTAGTATATTTAATTCCGCGATTGTACAAAATGTGTTCAAACAAAATTGCAGTCGCGGGTTATCGAACCCACGCGATATATTATGTATATTTAGAGCAGCAACCAACATTCCTAATTTTATACAACATTTTTGTTCCATTATAGAACGGAATTTGTTTGAACACGCTCAACACTGGATCGAACAGTAAGCTCCTAGTGAGATGGGCTGACACTAACGATACAACTAGGTAGGAATGCTACGCGGTAGATATAGTTGTGGTGGCTGGGTGGTACGTACCCTCCGTCATCGATGCCGAAGTCGTCGAGTAGGTCGGTGAGTGCGTCGCGGAACTCGATCATGCCCTGCGCCGGCAGCGCCACCTGCGAGCGCGGGCCGCCGCGAGTGATGGTCTGCGACACGCGCAGGAAGCGGCCGCGCGAGTTCTCCTTCAGGTCCAGGTAGTACCGCCGGTTGTCCTGCCACATACACAACATGACGTAACTCGTTACCACTCCTCGTACTGATCACTGATGTACCGTGTCTAGTCTACAAGGTACAACTGAATAAATGTAGGTAATGCCGTGCAGTAGCAACTGCACGAGCACGTTGAGGCCAACAAACTAACCAAGTTTTACATTCACATTCAGATTATGATTTAATCCCGAGATTGAAAATTCTCATGGAGTCCCTACATACACTATATGTCAACATAATCAATTAGAAAATGTACCAAGTCTAGGGCACGCACGATACTAGTGTGCGTTATGTGTACGTGTGTGTCTCACCTTCAGCATCATCTCTGACTTGAGCTTGCCATCGTCGGGCACGTTGTCTGGGTTGGGCGGCCCCAGCGACGAGTAGAAGTCGCTGAAGCTGGACAGGTGGTCGCGGAACTCCGCCGCCGTAGACATCGCCAGGAAGATTTGACTGCGCCGCCCGTCCGCGCCGATCTGAACAACAAGACGACATCTTACACCGTCAGTAAGTCTATACTCTGTACTCGTGTACTCACTCACGGGTCTCCGCCCTTTAGAAACAATGAAAGTTATAAAGAGTGTGTCAATTTATTTAGGAAATCTTCAAAAGAAGCAATCGTTCAGAATGAGTGAAAGTAAAACAATACTGTAGATATTATCAAGCATGATATTCCACGACGGGCTCAGCACTCGATAGATGTATGATTTTCAGTACATACACTTTAAATGTCTGTTATAGGTCTCATTATGATAGGTACAAGAATTACCAGAACCTATTGCTTAAGAGGTAAATCCCAAAATGTCGACAATCGAAAAGTTGCAAGTATTCTTTATTTAAGGACCGAATTTGAGATCAAATGAAATGCAAAAATGTAACGAGTGATAAGTATATAAACAAACATATTACTACAAATAGCAATGTGTTGAATGTATAAACACAATCAGCTACTAGGTGCGGTACATGCAGCATGCAGCTAGTATATTTCTTATGAAAGCCACGCTTTATTAGCATGATTACTGTTCGCAGCATTTAATGTATTTCTTATATTATTGTTTGCATGTCTGTAAAATCATGAACATAAATATTATACAGGAAATTTTATGCGATTTTGTCGAACACGTTGAATGAAGGCCTGAAATATGAGGTCAGGAACAATTATGTTGGTTAACGATTAATGCAGCAAATATGGATATGTGTGTCGTAAGGGGAGGTAGTAATCAATATCGCAGTGAACGGAGGCTCGCTGTCGCTTCTCACGCGCGAAGGACGACCCACACTTGTAAAGTTGTTATGTTAAATCAGAACGCAATCATATTCACATGACAGAATGACCACTGCAAAGCCATACACACTCAAATATCTACATCACAAATTAAATGTTTGATTTGTTGACAAACAGACCAATATGTAACAGTCTTTACAGACCAGACTGGAGGTGACCACACTGAACCTACCACCAGATATCAAGCACAAATGTCAAATACAATACACCGTCTACTATTTGATTGATATTTTGCTCTAACATAACATAAACATAACGTCACGCCTTTTGATTCCCGAAGGTTTAGGCAGGCAAAATTAAAAAAATAAAACAAAAAATAAAAAAGAGGTGCATACGTAACGGCACTTAATGCCACTGTACACCCACTTTTCACTATTTGTGTTACGAGTCCCATGTAATAGGGGTGAGCCTATTGCCATATGCCGGGCACAATTTCAGGCTCCGTGCTGCTACTGAGATTTTTTTTAAAAACCCAGTAATACTTTGCATGACCGGGGAATCGAATTCGAGACCCCTTGCCCGGCAGTCACACTTGCGACCACTCGGCCAACGACGCAGTCTTTTTGCTCTAACTAGGAATCAAAACTGGTAAGTCAAGTGCTTGTCACTATTGTCTATTTCGCCACTACGGCTAGTAGACCGGCGTAACAAACTCAAAACATTATAATGATGATTCCAGAACGTGAAAATAAATTTCCCAAGTGTAATACGAAATCTTATCTTCTCGAGGAAATCTACAGCACTCGGTCATTTTTCAAAATTAACTTATTTGGAAAGATAACACGTAAAAAACTTATTTTCCATTTCATTTTGATGATAAATCACAATCACAAGTGACAATAATAAAATAACGCGCAATGGTCGCAATTACCTTATTATAGAACCAACATTACCATAGAACGTTCACGTCCAAGAGTGCCTTCCTGGTCTAATTAACTTGGAACACATCGCAAGAATCTTTTTGAACGGTTTTTTAAGCTCGCACAAAGAAAACTTAAAAGATTTAAGTCTACATAGCTTAACAAGTGAAACAAGTGAAACAACTCCGCAGCCCTCAAGGAAATCACTACTAGACACTACATAATATGAGGACTTCACACGGCCCCCGTATTTTAACGATCGTGACGATTTGCCATTGTTAAAGTCAAAGCATTGACTCCAGAAATTGTCTCTCGAGCGTACGGCGCGTCGCGTTCCGCGGTCGCCTCAAAGAGCCATCAGACCACCACAGATGGGGGTTGGGCCGATGCCGATTCGAAGTCGCGGAGAACCTAACAGGTTACCGGGGCTCCGACTCGATGTGCAGGAGAAGGAACGAGGTGGTTTTTAGTCAGTAAGAGTCTAACACTCCCTCCCGCCTCCCCCAGGCGGGAGCAGTCATTCGATGATTTTCCCCCTTAAAAAAAAAGAAAGCAGAAATTGTCTGTTAATCCATTAGTGAAAGTAACTGCATGTTACAAAGCGTAGATTCGTATGGAGGAGAGTAACAACATGAGACGAATAGCTATTAGCTATCTCCTCTTTTTGACGGGGATGAAATCATCGACTGCTTCATTGGCGGAGTGGTCGCAAGTGAGGCTGCCGAGCAAGGGCCTCGGGTTCGAATAAAAAACAAAAATTCTCAGTAGTAGCACTTAGTTTGAAATTGTGCCCGGTATATGGCAATAGGCTCACTCCCTAATATATGGAACTCATAACATAAATATTGAAAAGTGGGTGTTATAGTGGCATTAAGTGCCTACCCCTTCGGGGATAAAAGGTGTGATGTTATGTAAAATCATCGAATGGCTCCTTCCGCCCTGTGTGAAGCAAGCGAGTGCGGATACATTAACTGACTAAAACCCACCCTGTCCCAACTCCTGCCTCGAGCCATGGTAACTGTTGGCGCTTTATCCGCAGCCCCAGTATAGCATTGGCCCCGTCTGTGGTTGCTGACATAATATAATCAGCGAATGAGAGTACAGTGCCACATTATCAGCTCAGTATCATCAGCTGACGCTATCAGTTACGTAATGCATTATCGTACACACAGGCTGCGCTTACGCAACGCAAATATGACTCTTCCTATGTCAACACTGCTTCCATTGGCGTAACTTCATTAACACTAGGTAAGCACTTCCGTTCTACAAACAGAAAATGAATTGGCAATTGGCGGTGGCCATTAAAGGCGATTAAGAGGTAGCTAATGGTGGCATTCTGCAACCTTCTTGGTATCACCTAAACCGTGTTAGGGTAGCCCTTACTAAGAGATTACAGCAGCTGACGATCTAAATCATTGTCCTTCTTGTGATATTATTACGTCATCATGTCGATACTTTAGTTACGAATAGCATTCAAAAACAAGGTACACCGCTTTGAGCAATAAGAGTATCTTGCATGATTCCATTCCCGTATACTCCGTTAACCAACACTTATGCTTAGATAAAATGGAGATGAACATGCAGATCCTAAGCACATTTCGCTTCATACAAGGAACTTATAATATACAAAGCAGACGTGGCGTGGCGACGGTTGACGGCCGCGGCCGTGGGCGTCAAAGGTCAGGGGAATTTATGGCAACTTTTTCACATAATCAGGTATTGTGTGGCAACACATTACGTCATCAAACCCTTTCATCGCACCACTGGAGCTAACTCCATATAGAACCAGTTTTAAATAAACCCTGACGCTTTGTACTTTAAAATTAACTACGTCAATCTAAATAAAGCATTTTCAAAATTAACCGTCGTCGATATTTTGTCAAAGCCAGTCAACAACTGATCATACTTACATAGGCGAGAAAAATCATTCTCTAAATGTCTCACTAAATTAAACCTCAACGAAGAAACCTTGTTAACCACTGGACTACACCAACTGATTGTTGAGCTTCGACGGGCGGTGCAGGGACATGCAGGCTCTATCCATTGCATGCAGAACACGGCACAACATGGAGTATGAACAGAATGATGACGTACGCTCACCTCTGCCACTTTGATGAACCTGCCGCGTCGGTTCTGCTTCACGTCCAGGTAGAACCGCTTCGACTGGATCTGCAGCATTTTCGTCGCCAACTCTTGCTCCTGTGGCTGCTGACCTGCATATGGAAGAGAGAGAAGGATCAGCACCAATTATTAATAATTGAGTCATATAGCAATCGCAAGTTGCAGTACACGTATAAGTAACAGATGAAGTTATTAGTCCGTTGTGTCAACAGGAAGTTTAGCAAATGGGAATCCATTGTAACCTTTTTACTTGTGGTCATAAATAATATGGTACAACTACATAGCCGTTAAAAAGTTTGTGCATAGATAGGCTAAATAATATTGTTTAATAGCAGATAACACTAACGGCACGAAGACATCTTAAAGTAACATCTATCTATCACCTAGACTAGATCATCTGTAGCAAGAGATCCTCTGTTCGAATTTCGATTCGGACCAGTGTCCGACATTATTGGATTTTTTATTCTGGAAACTTGTTAGTGGTAGAACGAAGACTGGAATTGTATTCGATTTATTTTATAGGGGAGAAATGATGGAGCTTTTTTAATATGCATGCACAATTGTGCATTTATACCTGTTCGTGGTATAAATGGCAAAATATTATTTTAACTTAAAATTCAGGCGATATTAACATAAACGAAACTAGCTAAACTCAATCAGTAATGATTTCAAGTTAAGTAAGATAATAAAAATAATATTAGGTACAGCTTATTACATGTATTAACGTCCTTGGGGTGGGCGCATAACAGCATATACCTAGCAGAAATACGTTGCAACTTGCATTGTCTGAACAGTACTGAACACTGAAGCGAAACAGCGGCGCAGCGTAATGAAACAAAACTGCTTGCCCGGTAGAAATCGACGTGTGATCGATTCCAATGCACGCGACTCGTTCCGGGCCATGCACAGGGCCCGACTCTATCGAGTATCGACTTCGCCCAACATTTTGGCGGCTAATTACTAACCACTCCGGCCAGGTGAGCAGACCGTGCCTAGCCTAGCATTCAGCCGCGGTCGTTATCATTTCACCTATTACATGCTACTTGTATAGTTTTAATTACGTTAATTAATTTGATAAGTAATGTAAATGATTATTAAAACTACGATGACGTGACAAAATAAGCATCTCATACAAAATTCATATAAAATTATTGTTTTAGACAAGCATAGTCTTGAATTTCGCTAGCTATCGACACGCCTATTTATTATCCCTGAGAATATAGCGTTTGGTACTACTTCATTACTGAATAATATCGGACACAAAAAGCATTTTTTTCCGAGAATTATTCCTCGTCTTCCAGGTGGCACTGGCCATATATTCGGATGTCCAGAATAACAAACAACATATTAATTAATCGAGAATATTGTGTAAAGCGAGGCGCCCGCGGGCGACCGTCTGCCCTTCGGCAACCTTCGCAAAAAAACCGTTCGTTTGGTTGCATAGCAACCGTGTGATTAATGGGCTTGCAGATACGACGCCTTTCAGGACACTCGGAGTCGGGAAACTAGGAAGGCCTGACAACCGGTTTGTTCAATGTTCAGTCGTGTGATCGTGTCTAGACACAACGTGCGCCTCCTTTGTAAGCCGCGAGCCGCGAGCCGCCAGCCGCCATACAATACTGCTGTAACCCGGTTACTTTTATTTCGGAATGTTCAGAAACATGTGTGAAATAATAAAGAAATTTAGTTTCATTTGCATAAACTTGTAGATCGTGTCACGATCGGAACAAGTAATCGGTTGTTACTTGGGAGTTGCGCCATACAGATTTAATACATGTAACATGGCGATAACGACCCCATGGGCTTATGCTCAGTCTAATGACTAGCCCGTTACAATCCCAAGCCGAGTATAATCCGGGCCGGGTTTGGGTGCTCAACGCTCAGCATCAGCAGGCAACCGGCGAGACAGTCATTGTGAAATATTATTACATAAAAGAGATGTCTGCAGGGGTTGTAACTCGCCCCAACTTGTGCAGACATTCTTAACAAAACGTGATAAATATAACTTTATTAAACTTTGTTAGAAACTGGTCTTATTTTTATGCTCGGAAACGACTTAATTAGCGCAATCCGCCCAACAGTTGTTTAAAATGACACCTTCAACACCGAATGCACTTTGCACGCAGCCATGACTCATGACTGCATGGATTATTACAACTTAATAAATAGTATTCTGTTGGCGACGCACTATGCGTGATATAATTTTAGTCTTTTTAGAAGATAATGTTATTTAAGTAATGCCGGAGTAACCGCTGGTGTGTCGATGTGCCGCGTGACGTCAGACTGCAGTCATGTGCGTGCAGTTTCCTCCGACACGACCAACTTGTGCTGCTACAGCTTTTCCTGCATTAGCAAACTTGTTGGACGATTCTAACATTTGTTTTATTATGTTAAAAATGTTGTAAAGTCCGAAGCCTACAGAAAACCCCGCCCCATTACGTGATAAGCCTTGGTTCAACAAAGGACATAAAAACATGGCATTAAGTTTAATAAACTAATATTCGACAATCTTGGCCATACGCATTATAGAATACGAATTCCAGCCTCGCCTGTGTCCGGGTGTTGATACATGTCAGTGAGGTCAGTTTTCGTAAGATATCTACCAGTGTAGGACCTTAAAATTATATGTATTTTGTATTGAGCAAAAAAGTTGAGTCAACTTACCGGAGTCAAAATTATTCCCGCCAGCGTCCATACTTTGCCCATGATATTCTGTAACATATTGACAGAAACACGTTACAATAAAATCAGAGAAAACATTTCCTCTATTAATATTATATCTTCAATATTATTTTATTTGAGGTCGTCACCAGGTGGAACACTTTAACAAAAGTTGACACTAATAAACTCTTAATTAACACAGAACCAGAGAGATTCCAACCGAATCCATCAATAGAACTACTAATATCGCATCAAGTTATAACACCTTAGCGACCTCCTCATACTTCAAACAAAGGATACATCAATAAATTAAACACGGATTAAATTTTCAATCATTTTATTTGCAAAGTTTACAATATTTTATAATACCTCAGCACAGCAAGGGAATGTGAAAAATTATTAAAGAGGGCTATTTTCTAAGGTGCAATGTGTCTTGCATAACAAATAAGTTAATTAAGACGTGTCGTATCCTAATAGCAAATATTTTAAGAAGTCTACATTCATGCAACGAATTTAACAAACTGAGTGTTAAGAAAATTAATAGAGTAATCACCACGTGTTGGCAGGTTCAGGTGTTATCAAAAATTAGGATGAAGGTGTAGTCATATTGCAAAAAAGATTGGCAGATTGTGAGTCTGTCTAGTTCACGGTAGACGCATGCATGAAGGTCGCTGGGCGAAGGTCTTTACAAGTTTACACAATGCAGGCATGGGATGGGTGGCGCCGCCGAGGCCAACACCGAAAGCAATAGCGACACGATCTGGATACGTAGAACGAGCTTGTGAGAAACAGTCTTAAGTGAATGTATTGAAGTTTCTATGAGAATTGTAATAAAACTATACAAAAAGATAAAAAGAGTACCGTTTAATACTATAGTACATGTACCTAGATTAGATGTATGTTCTCTACGTTTGAAATTCAAGCGAATTTCAGGAGAGGTCAGGAAACTAGGACGAGTTATGTTCGCCTAATAAATTCGTGAAGCAATTACCGCTGTTGCAGCTACCCGGGCCGGAGCCCGGGGCAGCACGCAACGCACGCGGCATTTAATTACACCCGCTCCATTAGTTGATATCATAATTGCAGGTGCTGTCCGAAACATCCTTACAAACGCTTTTGGCTTTGCATAATAATGTGCCTTCTGACGCGTTAACACACCTACATATCGGATACTGAGTTGCGTAACATTTCGGGCCTATGTGACGTTTGGAGAAAGCAAGAAAATAGCAAATGTATGTAGCTAAGCATGTAAAGCAATCTCACAACAATACTGAAGAAGTGTCGTGTACCAGTATGTATGCAGTCTCTCCTGGTAAAAAAACATGACATTAAACGTTATTTATGTAGTTTACGCGCAGCTTGAATGCAGCAGCGGTGTAGCTGTATGTCAAACTGACGAGAAAATTCGAGAAATCTACAAATTCTGCACTGCACGCAACCATTAGAAACTTAGAACATGGTATTTTTATTGGCAAAGATTAACCTACTGATATCCATGATTTAATTCACAATCAAGTTAAATGATATAAAGTGACACCAGGTTAATTAATTTGTATCTGCTCGGGCCCCATGGGGCTGACAAGCAAACAAACAGTCACGTTTAACGCAAGTATGTCGCATCTCTACGTCTGATGTATGACATGCCCTGTCTCGACTTGTTACTATACCGAAGGACGTATTCTAAGAACGGCTTACATCTGTGATAATTAAAGTCTAGCCAATACTCGATGATATTGTAAAAGGATTTAAAAATAATTGTGAAAATAGTTCACAAAAATTAAACTAAAAAGTCTTAGATCAGGTGTCGTATCTACGAATAACTGCTATAAATGAATCATAAAAAGTTTGCCGACTATAATGTGTCTAGTATCTAGTTCAGATAATGCGGACATATCCGACATATTAATGTAACGATGTATTTCTCCCACTTGTAACTGGTAAATGATCACCGGACATCTGTACAAAACGTGTCCGGGAAGCGACCTACACGAAAGAACCGACATCGTTCTTTAGAAATCTGCTATCACATGTAGTTTATCATATCAAAATTAGAGCTCGATGCATGTATCAATTCAGCAAAAATATCACAATACAGCACCATCCTGACATACGCCACTATTTGGAGCAGTTAACGATGAGATCAAATCCTTTGGGACAGGTGTGAAGATCGTGACGTTATAATGGAGCTTGATATTTAGGCAGAACAGAGATATCACATTGTATGTACATAATTGTTTATTATAGAAAGCAAAGTATCAGTGCAAGTCACAGCCGAATGGGTAGAGGTCACCCGTATAGAGTTACCCACCGCCGACACCGCGACCATGTTGGTCAAGCCGCACTCGACCAGCAAGTGCTAAATATGCACTGATTAGCAGCAAAACTATCCATGTGTGAAATGTACGACTTGGGGAGACAACATTATTGTATCGTAGTATAGGATGCAGTATTAGGGCGAAGCTGAGTGATACGTCAGCGTGTAACCTTGGGCGATGCAATGAAAGCGATCAATGAAGACTGCGACTGCGTGCTGAACGCCAACATAACACGCCGACGTGGTGCTGCACTCACTGACACCCGCACCGATTATACATTTACAAACGTCCAAGTCTAAATGTCTGATAAATCTTGAGGACATTGTCAGCTCAATATTACTGCTAATACGTTATTCAAAGTAACTACTATTTACTGTTTTGTAATTACCTAAATACCATGCTTATTCAAAATGTCCTAAACAATGCAGTCCCTGGTAGTAAACAATCTAGTGTACGAAAGAGTGGCGTCCGCAACTTCACTTCGGTTAAAACAGATCCAAGTGAGAATCGAAGTGTTCAGACCTCTAAACTTCATACTTTAATCGTAACTATTAAGGTAGACGACTGCCTTAATTATTTATTTAATTACTACTTGGTCTAAATGGTCTACGAACACCAAAAAATACTGATTTTGCAATAATTTCTACAAAAACAGTAGTTGGTCTTAACAGAATCTGAAATAACCTGTATGACAGATTAATCCGAATTCACATACAATATAAAATTTTGTAACCTTCAAATTCATACGTACCTACTACGCTACATTTTCGCAATATTGTACCCATCATATTTTTCCAAGTTGCATAAGTAATCGTGTATGATTAGATGGTGTAAGACCGATAGCGGCAATACAAACATGGGCAAAGACATAATCTTTATGGTCACTTGCGAAAACATTTGTATTTCAATGTTCTCACTCAAGCTTAGTTTAAAAGCTTCTTAAAATGATCTAACGAACGAGTTTGATGATAAGTATAAATTGCTGCTTTACAAAAATCCATTTAAAAATGTATTCTTCATTTTTAAATTTCAATGACTCCCTTTGACAATGCCCCAAAGAGCGTTTTTTGGTAAGGTTAGGGTTGACTTGGATACTGTTTTTCAGATTAGAAATGATTGAAACCCATTCTCTGGTGCTGGCCCCTCCCTGAGCCGAGACATATCAATATGCATACGCTTTGTGATCCAGTAGTTGCTGTCCAATTACGTATTAGCTAACAATGAAATCGTTTGTTAAGCTTGTGATGTCAAGCAACTTTATCATTTCGCATTCGTCCCATATTCTGGCGTGATAATGTGACGGCTAAACTTAGATATGTTTAAAAGAATTGAGGATCAGAATCTAGGCCATCACCGTCATAAAACTGAGAGTGTACCGCCGGCGCCGCGATAGCAATTTTTGCATTGAATTTTGTCCTTTATTAGTGTCTAATACGTTCTTTTACATGAGTTCGCGAAGTCTCATTCGGTACAACATACTAATGACCTCTTTACGCAGACACCGCACCGCCATGTTCGCACCAGGCGTCATATTTACTCATTTTTTGCAAATCTTCTAAGCGTTGCGCATGACCTGAATAATAGCAAACAGTGACGCAGTGTTCCAACATGTCGTCGGCGTCGTACGCGCACTATAAAAATCAACAGACAATTAATTGAGTCGTAAAAGCTCCAATAAAAAGATAACTCTTCCATTTTTAAAAGTCGGTTAAACAATTCGAGCGGCACCGCGGGGCCCGATCTAGGGTGTCTATCACAAAGTTAAACAACCAATAAGGTGTAAGAGTGTGTGCCAAGAGACACTTAAAGTAGTTATGTAAGTAGTTCAAGGCGGGTCATTGGCAGCAGACGATATTGTTGCAGACATAAGCCAGACGGGCAAAAAAGTGAAACCTGTGTTTTTCATAAAAAAAACCACAGCCGCGGCACGGTTGGTAATGAATGAAGAAACGAAATGGCTGACACGTTGTGAGCAAAGTTTGTGGGACCTATAAGAGCTGTATCATATACAAAGTACCACAGACTAATCGAAATTCGTGTAATTGTTCTGCGGCTCATTTGGCAATCACTTTTATTTGGAGCACTGGCAACATAAGACTTTGTCAATGAATAAAATAATAATATTAGAGACAGACTCGTCCTGTTCGCATTACCATGTAGCTTGAGAAGTGGCTGACGTAATCGTTAGTATTTTGGCAACTTAAAGCAAAATCCCTGAGAATTGTGGTCCTGATTCACATGCTGTATGTCGATATTATCAAGTTGTTATATTTGAAAATCGCATGTACTAATTGAAAAATAAAAAAAGAATGTCGTCTGTGTCTCAGCTTCATAGATTTCACTTCAGTAACGCAACTCGCGAGTTGCAGTCGTGGCCTAACTGAATATCCAATCGGCAAACCTATCCTTTGCGGGAATTTGCTCATGCTGGTTATTCTTTGGAGAATCTAATCATATTTGTATTTTCTTCCAAACTTTATATATGTAAGCTTTTTAGTTAAGAACAATTCTGAGCTACCTGGATGCCCACTGTCTTTCTTGGGTCTGACATTTTATGCCCCAAGAAACTAATGCAAAACAGAGATGGAGACTTTCAGGAAATTATGTCAACTCATAATCAATACAAGTGTAAAGGAGTAGTAGTACTCCAAATACATATATTTACAAGCTTTTTTTTGTGTTCTCAAACAATGAAAGGTTTCAAAAATAGAACTAATTCTCATTTACATACTACTACATGTCAGCTAAAACTAGTAGTTAAGTACTTGTTGTTATGAAATATCTTATTGTTGTTTATTTATTAACCAAATTAATATAAACTCAATGGTTTATTTTTTTGGATTTGATATTCATTGATTTTGCCCAAATTCAGTAATAAGTTTATTGAATTACAACAAATAAATCAACCTAAAAAAATACATTCTATTAATTTATTCTCAGGTTGCTTGTTTGACCCACAATATGTATAAGCGGGATTGGTTTGATCATTGGTAGTGATTTACTACAGTAAAATAATGACAATAAAATTAACACACATCACTGATATAGTCTAGAACGCCATTTATCAGAGTCACAATCTGACTTCATGCTCAAACTGAACTACACCACAGTACAGAAAGTTATTATAAAGTATGTTTATATGAATGAGTATGGCTGCTAGAACTCGGAACATTGACTTTGTGCTTTTTGTGCAAATAGGCTTTTGATGAGGGACAGGTTTGCTGCGACACCTCTCTCTGCTGTCACTGATGTTCACAGTAACCATTTTTCGTTTAGTACATTCATTGAAAGCTATTTTTAAAATGATTTGATATAAAAACAACAACGAAAAATGAAAACACTAAGTAACAGCATATCATAATTAATGTAAACTGTAGCCACAGCATGAGGAACTGGTTACATCAGTATAACACACCAGTTTGTTTTTAAATATGTAGTCAGTAAGTCAGCAAGACTTGAGCCTGCTATGTTTCAAGAGAGTTGCGAGAACAAAATTTCAACAAATCATCAAATGAAACTTAAACTCGGAACATAGATACCCTACAGGTTGCGTCTTGTAGACAATTAATAAAGAATAGTAAATGGCGGAATGCTATATTCAGCCCCATTAACGAGTACACATTCCTTTTCACCATAGAGATATGGAGCTAGTAGTGAAGTATAACCTTAATAACATAAAACATTTAGTATTAAAGAAATGTGTGTCAAAGCAAATTGAAAGGATGCCAATTTCCAATGTAAACTCACCTAGTCCGTTTTAACCAGATTCCCAGCATGCCTTACATATTCAAATAGTGATTTGTTACAATTATTTTATGTTATGTGATGTCACAGTGCATGTCGCATAGTGCTTATTGAGTTCCCGCTCTGTGGCATAATGCAGGACAGATCATACAGAACTTCACTATTCTAATTTGAAAACTATCCTATGCTGTTCATCATGACGAAATTTTTTTCTTCCAGACATACATATGGTACAGTAGCAATGTACTGATGTGTGCTTAAGCATTTAGGTAAATGTTATACAAACTTGCTATTGTGGAATACACTGAAGGTTGCATCAAACATATTATGCAGTTCATTCTCGCATGACTGCACTCATGTATGAATCCTAAATTTCCTCTTTATGCACATTGCCAGACGATTTCACTGCAAACTTAAAAAATTGCAACATGCAATCACTGTAGTTAGTTCAAAAAATACAACAATTACTCCAAGCAAAGATATGTTTCAATAATTTTGTAATCAATGTTATCAGATTGTGTAAGAACAGCTGATTATGTCATGTACACATAATAATTGTCCCAAAGCCTAGTACATGTATGACATGGAGATATATAATTTGTTCTATATTGCTATTTCCAATAGTGTGAAGTTCTTATAAGACCATTCTTATGGGAGAATCTTTCATGCAGGGTTTTGTGCATAAGGAAATTACATACTAATAAAATTTGGTACAAATTTAAACATTGTACAGATACTAAATCATCTCTATGCCCTGGTACTACTCCTGGTGATAGCACAATTAATGATGAGATCACTCCGTGGATACTGACAGAGCTTATGCATGCTCTGCCGATTGGAACAAAAACGACTTACACAGGTTGACACCTCACCACACACCACACTCCTGTCACTGCACCAATTGATGTTGGCTGAGCTGAATGCTATCCAGGACACACTCTTCCAGTTGAACACTATGTCAAATCCAATCTTCTTAACAGTTTTCTTTGTTCAGTTGTTCAGTATAACAAAGAAGCAAGTCTTTGTTCATGTAACTTCTTGATTAAAAGTTGTCCACAGAGCACTCATATTACACTTCCACTACTGCACTGGAGAACGAGGGTACTTCGCGAGTGGAGCACTCATCAACATCGCGGCCGTATCGTACGAGAACAAAGAACTTGCCGACTAGAAGTATCGCAATGCCGCATCTGCCTGGCGACAGCGGTTCTATCACACCGGTTCTAATAAAATTAGCGAGGTCAGTGGGTAAGCATGGAGAGGCAAGGGCCAGGGGAGGCGCGGCCACTGACCTGCCATGGTGGCGCGCCGCTCAGCTGACTACGGCCGAGACAAAGCGCGGTACGGTGCGGCGCAGAGCGGCGCGGCGACGTGCGGCTTCCGACACCAGCCCGCCTCCGCCGAGCCCGGAGCGTCTCGGCCACCTCGGCCGCCGACACCGGCCCGCCCGACGACGAGAGGTCGCAGACAAAAAAATCGATAGGTCGTCAACCTCCGCCGGCGGTCGGCAGGAGCCGGTCCCGGGCGGGCCGTCGCGCCGCTACCCGTTAGCTTAGGGACTGTCACGCGCGAGGATCCCTCGGAAGCCTTAGCGTTCGAGATATAACAGACCTAAATTCGCCATTTTGAAACGGGAACAATGAGATATTTACTTTTGATCGTTAGGACCGTCGGAGACGACGTCAGTGACGGTTAACAGACGCGGCGCGAAATACGAGATATGCCCGACGCTAGACCGCTGTAAATAAATACGTACTCTGACTAGAAATCCCTTCGTCACCGCTGCCAATATCCGACATCGCAATCCACACCGATATCTACAGGCGATCCACCGATCTTTCTTTTCGGAGACTCTCGGACAGTACAAATTGTCTATGGTTTCGAAGCCATCAAAATTTGGTTTTTATAATGTCATCTTCCACAAGTAAAGAAAAATCTTGCAAACTGAATCGTTAATTTTTATTACAAATTTCAATACTCATATTTTTTCAAGCATAAACTGTCATATTATCTTTTATTATGTACATTTTTTAATTAATTTACAGCAAATTAACAATCAAGACACCTAAACAGCCTTTTGCAAATTTGACGCAGTTGGTTGTGTCTATGGTTTTGACATATATTGTCAATTCGCTAAGATACCTACTAGCTTAGATGGCTTGTATACATACATACTATGTAGGTACCTACATGAAATGATCTGTCTAGCCGTAAGCAATAAATAACAGTTCCAAATCCTTTCACAATGGCGCTAGAGTAGCAAAAAATGCGCATGAAGTTTTATCTGTGACAGAATGAAGTGCGCGTGCGCTGTCTCAATCTCAACATAGAACAAAGAATAATTTCCTTTATGTAGGTACCTACCACCTACTGACAATAGTCTATTGAGTCGAATTTAAAAATACTAATACTAATTAAAATTTTAAATTGTAAAATATGCATTTAAATTCCTAAAATTAAATAACTACTTATTATACCTAGATACCTAGTTTCCGACCATAATAAATATGTAATGGGTATGACGGGAAATTGTTATCACCTATATAGAAATCTTTGTGGGATAATTATCGTCCCTCGTAAGCCTCACGCGGTGCATTGACGTGTAATCTCGTTAAAGGATATTGGAATAGACTCTAAATAAGAGAGTTCGGATCGCAATAAGTAATGCCCTATTTATCCAGTGCCTAATCGTATCTAATATGGTATCGGACCTCATTACCTTTCTACAGATGCAAAATGGAACAGTTCACAGCAGAGAATATGCACTTCAATGTTGAAACTTGTCAAAGATTCGAAAAGCATTAAATGAAGATGGCGCCACAGTACTCCATTCGTTCGCTAAGAAATATCTACATGTAGTTTTTTAATCACTTAATTTTATAGTCATGTCAACCTTATATATGGACTTTCGTTGGTAGTGGTGAAGGTTACGCACGTGCTTTTGTCACTCCTACGTTTATTTTCAATTTAAGTGATCTATTTCATAGTGATCTGAATTGAAATCTTTTAAATTTTGTGTTTTTGTGTTGGTTAAGTGTATGTGTGTGTAAGTTTCAGGTATTGGTGTTTTTAAATATATTTTAATCTATTTTTTCCTCTGCCCATCCGCATCTTTTTAATCCGAAATGGACGAGGTGAAGCCACCCGATCCTCCTGATCCCGATAAATCCCCGGAATATGAGACGGAAACTATAGTCACAATTACCCTTCCTCCGAACACCCCGGATATCGAAATAATGGACGCGGAAGTTTCAAAATCCCGGAAACGACCCGCAGGCTCCCCCCTTATCACCCAAAACAACCCCCCGAAATTGGCGAAAAGTGTAAATGGTAGGCAATGTTACACGGCCAGGGACAATCCCCCTTACATAGTTTATGTGTCTCTTAAGGACTCCCAGACGTCTGGCACCACGCTTCACCCAGTTAAGTTTGGTATGTTCCTAATGAAATTAAACATTAATAATGTTAAGATCGGTGGTGTCAAACGGCTGGGGAGGAATAGAGTTTCGGTTGAGTTTGTGACGCACCAGGATGCTAACAGTTTTTTAGTCAATGGTATGGTAGCTCAAAACTACACAACTTCGATCCCACAATTCAACATTACCCGAATGGGCATTGTCAGGGACGTCCCTGTGGAATGGACAGAGGACGAGATCATTGGCAACATCAGGGTTCCCACCGGGTGTGGGGCTGTGATAAAAGCTAGGAGGATGAATCGCAGAGTCTCAACCCCAAATGGTACCGAATGGAAGCCTACCCAAACCGTAGTGCTTACTTTTGACGGTCAAACATTGCCCAAAAAAGTGTTTTGTTTCTACTCAGCACTCCCGGTAGAACTATATTCATATCCGACCATACAGTGTTATCACTGTTGTCGTTTCGGACATACCCGCACTCTTTGCCGCTCCAAGCCACGTTGTTTCAGATGTGGCCAGGATCATCCAGGTGATGGATGCCAGATTTCAGCTGAGATTGCCACATGTATAAATTGCAATGGCAACCACTTTGCAAATGACAAAGCTTGTCCTGAATTGGGTCGCCAGAAGAGCATCAAAGCTTTGATGGCAGAAAAATCTATTTCATATGCGGAAGCAAGCCAAGTTTTCCCTACTGTAAAAAGGTCATATGCTGAGGTCTCAAGATCAGTCAACCTCGTAGATCCATCACCTATTAAAAAATCATCCCAACAAAGAGTCTCCTACAAAAAAACTATCCAACTAAAACCCAAATCACATGCTCCCCTCTCTCCTAGTTATGATAAGAAGGCTCATCAGGCCCTTATACATAACTACTCGTTCTCCCCATCTAAAAGTGGTTGCGCTTTCCCTGTGGAATCCGGAACCAACACTCGTAGCTCCGAAAACATTTTGAACATAGTTTCTGATATGCTCATGGCAGTACTATCAAACTCTGCCCATACCGTACCTGACCACGTAGCACACAAGCTTTCAACAATTCTTGATTATATTTGCAAAATTCCTGCCTCTAACACTGCTTCAGTGGAACGTGAGGAGTACTCTTCCCAGGAAGAGTGACTTACTCCACTTGATCAATAAATTTAAACCATTGATTTGTGGCATTGCTGAGACATGGCTTCGACCGAATATAAATTTCGGGATCCCGTGTTTCAGTGTTGTCAGACATGACAGATCTGATGGTTATGGAGGTTGTGCTTTGTTAGTTAATAACAAAGTACCCTTCTCCCAGATTCCTCTACCCTTCGTTGGCGATGACATAAATTTGTCGCTGTTAAGGCTGAGGACATAAACATATTTGTATTTACATTGCTCACCCTCATGTTGACCAGCTTATTTTGATTAAAAATTTATTAACCTCGGTAAGTGGCCCATTACTTGTAATGGGTGACTTCAACTGCCACCACTATAGATGGGGTTCAGATGTATGTGATAATATGGGTAATGAGCTAGTTGAGATGCTGGATGAACTCGAGTTGTGTGTCATTAATGATGGCAGCCCTACTCGTAGGTCTGCTTTTGGTCAAAGAAACAGCTGTGTGGACTTGACCTTCTGCTCGCCTGATATGGCTAGCGTGCTAAATTGGAGTTGTTTAAATTTGACCTATGGTAGTGACCACTATCCCATCTTAATTAAACACTCGTCAAAATCCATTCCGGATAAACCCCTTCCCCCCTTATTAAAATATCGTTTAGATTCTGCAGACTGGGATCTTTACTCAAAATTATTAGACCACCGCACTTCTTTCCTTCCACCAATTAACAACGAAAATTCTTTGGAGTGTTTCTCCAAATTTTCAGACCTGATAGCCTCCACAGCCGAAGATTGCTTTCCGGTGAAAAACGCACCGAAAGGCAAAATACCTTCTCCTCCATGGTGGGATAGTGAATGCACTGCCATGATAAGGGCTAGGAATGAGGCTGAAAAAACATATAACCAAGATATGAACCTGGAAAACCTCATAAATTTCAAGCGAATTTTGGCTAAGTCAAGGAAATTGTTCAGGAAAAAAAAAGACAAGGGTGGCGGAGATTTTGTGGTTCTCTGAGCCCATCGACAACAATATCCACAGTTTGGCAGAGAGTCAAAAATTTTAGAAACTCCACCAAACCTCCCACTGTCTCCACCTTACCCGAATCTCTGGTTAACAGTTTTTTTAGCAATATTGCTCCAACCTATGTTCCCACCGCAGATGAATGCTGCCTGAGATCCCATGAGACCGAGCGACCCGAGTCTCATGACCCGCTCGATTTGGAGTTCTCATCTGAAGAGCTCCAAACGGTACTCAACCATGTGAAGGACTCGGCACCAGGGATTGATGGGTTCCCCTACTCCTTCCTAACTAAGGCAGGAACTAAAGCGAAGCAGTACTACCTTGACTTAGTCAATTTTTGCTTTATTTCAGGCTATATTCCTCCTACCTGGAAGGTTCAGGTTATTATGCCGCTGTTAAAAGCTGGCAAGGATCCTGGTGACCATTCGTCGTACAGACCTATTGCCCTATCGTCCATACTTATTAAAACATTTGAACATCTTATCAAAAACCGCCTTGAGTGGTTGGTAGAAAGCCAGAGGCTGCTTCCGGCGACTCAGTTCGGCTTCAGGAAAGGTCTGGGTACGGCTGACAGTGTGGGTACCCTCACGTCAGCCATCCGACTGGCCCTTAGCAGGCAGGAGTCGTTGGTCGCGGTCTTCTTGGACATCTCAGCGGCCTATGATTCTGTTCTCTTACCCCTTCTCAGGCAGAAACTGCAAGAGCTGAGAATCCCGCGTAGGATCTGCCGAATTATAGCCTGCATCCTTTCCGATCGTACCCTCCAATTAAGATCTCCTGAGGATAACCCAGTACGGAGGTCCTCCTGGAAAGGTTTACCTCAGGGGTCAGTCCTTAGTCCCATCCTTTACAATATTTATACCTATGACCTCCCCTCCTGTTTAAATTTCAACTGTAATGTCCTTCAGTATGCTGACGATATCGCACTAATGGTTACCAATAGCTCTATAACAGACGCCGCCCACTCCATCAATGTCTCTTTGGCCTCATTAAACCAATGGCTTCTTAATCACGGGTTATCTTTAAGCGCCCCAAAAAGCTCAGCTGTCATTTTTACACGCAAACGACGCACTCCGGATCTTCGTATAGAGATAGACGGTCAGGATATCCCGATCAAAAGCAGTGCTAGATTCTTGGGGGTTTATCTCGATGCAAGGATGTCTGGGGCAGATCACATAAACACCGTGGTTGCAAGGTGTGAACGCTCGGTATCGATACTCAGAGCTCTGGCCGGGGTATGGTGGGGTGCTCACCCCTACTCATTGAAGC